TAATTGGATTTATTTATAAAATAATCTGTCTGAACTTAGGGGATGGGGAGTTATCTTTATTTACATTATTTGCATTCGGACTAATTTCGCCTTCCTCCTTGTTATGATAATCTTATATTATTTGTTGTGCTTTGTCATTATAAAACTTGACATCTCCGAAACAATTACCAATATTTTAATAATCACAGTTATTATAAGCTGAAATATCCTGTAGAGTTTATCATTGTCGTTTTTTTAATGTCACTTTTATTGTGAAAATATCGATTTACTTAATAAAATATAACATAGTGTGTTCAGGTCAAACTGATCCACTCTTTTCGGTTTGTAAAGCAACGCTTGCAAATAAACAATGAACCCAAAATATATTATTATATGTATTACATATGTCACCTAATTTGAAATGTGTTTAGATAAAAAGTATTAATCGATTGATTAATATGATCGAATGAGTAGCTAAAATCTATTTATGACATAAACGGATTTCTTTAAAGAAACATAACATGTATTGTCGTATTTACCTTTTTAGTTACCAGGTAATAATACAGCTAGAATATAAAAAAATCCATCGCCATTTGGATTTGGTTCCAATCGCCGAATTTCAACAATGGCTTCACTAAATAAGACAAAACCTATTTTTGTTAAGAACATGTAATTTGGTTCTGCGATCAAATTTTACATAATCCATCTTTTGGCATGAAATAAAAATGAAAAACCTAACGTAAATTGTAAATATAACACAAAAATAGTAAAAAATAGAAACCTAACAACCAGAATGGATTATTCCCGAATGAAAACCAGATCACAATAGAAATACTAATATATCTATAAAAGATTAAATAAAAAAAACATGGCACCATTCTTAATGAGAGGCATTAACTTTATCATCATAAATTATGGATGATCAACGGGTATCGCATATTTTACAATTGGAATTTTGTGTTCATTATATATAGTTTATCACTTAAACGTCATTTTTAGTGGATACCATATTTGAGAAGACGCTAAGTTTATTTACCAAACAGTATATTTGTTTATTAAAATAATTATAATTTATTTATTAACTATAATTTTTACAAGGAATGGATATGAGAGGGAAACGTTTAGCCTGTGGTATTATTTAAAATTCGATATGGGCACCAGATTTGCTACCAGTTTTTGAGCCGCTGAGGAATCGTGTCAACTGATTCCACCAAGAACTGTTGTGGTATGGAAGACATAACTTCTTGTATTTGGCCTTCAACCCTTCAAGTTCTTTCAAATTCTTGGTTTGATATAGTATACTTGCTCCTTTAACCAACCACTAAGAAAAAAAGTCATAGGGTGTTAAGTCAGAACTCCTGAATGGCTGGCCACTCATACATTAAATAGGAAGTTACTTTTCGCTCATCCTCTACATATAATTAACAACAACAATAAATATATATATATATATATATATATATATATATATATATATATATATATATATATAGGTGCGCAGGTATGCAAAAAATAGAAAAGAACACGTTGGGTGCATAATCCGGAGTTCCTTAGCATTTTTGTTTTTATTTTAAGAAGACAGTGCTTTTATACAGAAGTAGAGCTTCATTATAATAATATTTTTTTTCAAAAAACATGATTCCTTCGCTACTAAAAGAGTTCTCATTTTTCAAAGAATAAATATCCAAATAATTATTAAAATTAAGTTGAATTGAGGTGATTAGTCCCGTTTCATCTTCAGGCGTAATCTCCTAAAATTATAGGAATTTCCTAAAATTTCGCTTGAAGATGAAACGGGACTAAACACCTAAATTCAACTTAATTTTAATAATTATTTGGATGGTTTTGGCTCTCGTTTTTGACACATGAGAACTCTTATGTAGCGAAGGAATCATATTTTTAAAAAAAAAAATTATATATATATATGTATATATATATATATATATATATATATATATATATATATATATATATATATATATATATATACTATTAAAAACAATAAACATTTTATGAACATTTTATGATCATTTTTCTAAGGTAGAAATATAAAAATAAATATAATATACACAAAATGTCTATTGTTTAAAAAATACATTTAAAAAAAACAACACACACACACACACACACACACACACACACACACACACACACACACACACACACACACATATATATATATATATATATATATATATATATATATATATATATATACTTGGGCGTTTCTGTGGTTCAGCGGAAGAATGCTGAAAACACCATAGACAGTGCATGTGATTAACGAAGAATTTAAAAAAAAAAAAAATCCGAAAGAGACAGTTGAAATTTCTGGGATACATAATGAGAAAAAAGGACTTGGAGAATTTGACAAAAACAGAACATAATGAAGGAAAGAGTTACAGAGGGAAAATGTATAATCGACCTAAAATCTTTGAGTCAATGGATGACAGATAAGAGAATGGAACGGATAGGAAAACATCGCTACGAAGTACGAAGTTTTAGGAGCCATGATCATTGAAATACTGTAGGGACACTGTAGGTACATAAAAGAAAAATGCACCAGTGATTGTAATAAGTAAATGAAGAATTTACAAATCATCAGTAACACTGCGAATACCCATCTTCAATCTCGATTCCGATCTAGTTTCCTTAATAGTCAGCAATGGGGACAATTGATTGAATTATTCTAGCAGTGTTATCCCAAACGTCTCTCGGCTTTTTGCGTAGTTTTCTTTTAAATGTAGACAACACTGCACAAATAAAATAAAATTGTGGAGAGAAAGTAAAGAGTCGATTGCATTATTTTATCATATAATCGTTAGATTGAGAGTAATGTTTTTCCTCTTTCTCATTCAATATATATATATATATATATATATATATATATATATATATATATATATATATATATATATATATATATATATGCCAACCGGTTTGGTTGAATAGTTTGAACATATTATGTCTATTTTATTTTAATCTTCTCAAATTGAGGGATCAATTTCTTAATATTGTTATTAAACTCATTCAGGAAGACGCCGTAGATTTTTCATTTATTTTTACTTTCAATTTCATCCAAGATCATCTTCAGGGGTGAATTGCTAATTGTCTTGTCTGGGAAAAAGAAAAGAAATGAAAAAACTACGGCATCTTCCTTAATGAGATTAATAACAACATTAAGACATTGATCCGTGTATTTGAGAGTATTAAAATATAAATAAATACACATAATATGTCCAGATGTTTCAACCAATCAGGCTTTCTGAATATATATATATATATATATATATATATATATATATATATATATATATATATATATATAGATAGATAGATAGATAGATAGATAAATACATAAGACAAATAATATTTATTGTATATTAGTTGGCCTTTCGGTATTTTTTACAGAAAGAGAACAAGTAATTAAATGTTTTATAGAAATACATGAAAAAGAACAAAAATGCAAATGTATTTAGCCAGAAGAGAAAATGATAGTATTTTTTATCGTACACCTCAGGTAATACGAGGCACAAGAACCACTCAAGGTAGTGGGTTACTAAATGGTATTGTTGTAAGAGTGTAAAAGAAGGAGAAGGAGGTGCATATTATGAGGATATGTAGGATAGATAATGGCTAATTCTAGAGATTAAGTTTGTAGTTTTGGGGGAAACGTCCTCTCGGGAAGAATCTGTTTGTTGATGCGATATACGTAGCATGGAGAGTCCTAGCTGTTAAGATCTGAATTCGTGGAACTAAGGAATATAGTTCTTCTGAACATTTGACAGAGTAAAGCAACATTTCGTCTGTGAGAAAGAGGTTGCCAGGAGGAAAATAATTTATCACCCACAAGACCGCATAATCCCTTTTGTAATCTGTCATAAAAAATTCAGACACAACAAAGAGAAGAACGATTCTATGACAAAGTTTATTATGCAAATCAACATGATGATGATAAAATTGAAATTGTCGGAATGTATATTTATTTGAGCAACATTATGTTTTCTGTGTTCAGTTATTGAACACACCTAGCTCTTTTGGATCAAGTCACTGGATTACTTCAACTAACGATTTTATCCACTGAGCAGAGGTGAATAAAACCTTGGACAGTTAACTTACTAAAGAGGGAAATAATTGAAACTGAGATATTCAGAAAAGGCATGGCACGTGGAACTAGAACAATCTACCCCGGTGGATGAAATAAAGGGTTCGGTTCGAAAATCCAACGTATATCACCCGATGTAGGTACAAAGGCTGAAACATCGTGAATAGGACAGTACAGATGCGGACAATACACTGAACAATGTAAATAGTGTAAATAACATTATTTGTGTTTCAGCTTATAATATTTTCCTTATTAATGATATTGGTATTAACTTGGTTAGGAGATTCAGTTTTCTTATGAAAAGAAAGTGTAATAATATTTTATTTATAAATAAATCCAATAGATATAATACAATGAAAGCATATATTTCATTATATGTGAATAAATTCATCTGTTATTGTTTTATATGTGTTCCATGACATTCTATAAACTTTATCAGTCTTTCATCCATTGTTTTTGATAACTTTAGTCATGTTTCTACTTAAACATTACTTGCAGCGGTATTTATCGCTTCTCAGAGAGTATGTTTGACCATTGTTATATAAGTTTCTTTTTTTTTTTTACAGTAAGGTTCAACCTGTATAAGGCCCAAGAGCCACGTGCAGTAGTGGGTTACGTCAAGGGGTAGTTTATATGGATAGGAAGGGAAGATAACAGTTAACTCTAGACTTGAACAGGTTGTAGTGATCGGGGAAACATCCACTTGGGAGTCTGTTCCACAGGGCGGGGGTTCGCGGGAAGAAGATGTTGGAGTGAGATTTACTTCTCGCCGATGAAATACAGAGTAAATGTGGGTGGTTTGCTAAAATGTAAGTGCTATTATGGGTCCTAGCCGTCAAGATTAGACCTGGTGGAACCAAGGTATATCGTTCGCCCGAGCACTTTCTATGGAAGTAAAGATGAAGCAGTGAGAGAGTTGCTATATTCCGCATGAAAGAGAGAGAGAGAGAGAGAGAGACAGACAGACACAGAGAGAGACAGAGAGAGAGAGAGACAGACAGACAGAGAGAGACAGAGAGAGACAGAGAGAGAGAGACAGAGAGAGAGAGAGGGGGAGTGGAGGGTAGAAGATAATTCTTCTCTAGCAAGGACTCGCAGACGTTTTTGGACTCTATCAAGACGGGCAGCTCCCGCCCAAATATGGCAACAGTATTCCATTTTCGGCCTGATCTGGCTCTTATAAAGGCAGAGGATAGCATGAGCAGTCAGGTACTTACTGGAGCGTTACAGGGAGCCGATCATTTTAACTGCATCATTAGCGATGGATAGTATATAAGTGTTCCACTTGAGGTAGGGTGCGAGCTTGATGTCTAATATTCGATCAAGGCAAAGTGCCTCCTCTTGAGGACGTCCGTTGAATAGTGTCTGGCGGTAGTTCTTGTTCTGATCGGCGGTGATGGAATGTAACTAGTGCATCTTTTCATGATATACAACTATTGGATTTAGACTTGAAGAGGCTGACTGTTATTCCATCAATTCAGTGCCTCTGAAACCTTTTTTTTTACCATGGTGGGCAATAACGAACTTTAGCTTGCATGAATATATTCCTTAGTATAAGGTTTTTTGTTTATAAACTGTAATGCTAATAAATAAATAAATAAGTAAATAAATAAAAGCTTACTTTGAAAACACCTTGTTATGGGGTCCTCCCCTTTTTCATATAAGTGGACTCGACCAGAGTGTTACTTGGACTGCTGCCGTTAAATACCCAGAGTCAATCAGAATATACGGAGAGATTGGGAGATTGAGAAGAGATTGTGATTGAGTTGGAGGTAGAGTAATAGTGTGAGGTAACCACCTGTAGAAGTCAGTTACAAGCACGTAAACTCTAAGGAAGTCCTACTTCGAGACTGTGTATATATATATATATATATATATATATATATATATATATATATATATATATATATATATATATATATTATATATAACTAACTACGTTCCTGGATTTGCTAATAGAATTACCCATTGTATTATTGTGTAAATACATTTAATTTCTTATCTTTAATTCTTGCGTTTTTCATTCATTGGAGACCGAATTTCATCGCGGAATTCACAACACACCTGCTTCTATTTTACTAGTAAACACTCAAAAGAATAAAATAAATGCCTCTCGAGGAGGCACCTTGCATGAACGGATATTAGACATCAAGCTCACACCCTACCTCAAGTGGAACACTTATATACTATCCATCGTTAATGATGCAGTTAAAATGATCGGCTCCCTGTATCGCTCCAGTAAGTACCTGACTGCTCATGCTATCCTCTACCTTTATAAGAGCCAGATCAGGCCGAAAATGGAATACTGTTGCCATATTTGGGCGGGAGCTGCCCGTCTTGATAGAGTCCCAAAACGTCCCCGAATCCTTGTTAGAGAAGAATTATTTTCCACCCTCCATCCTCTCTCTCTTTCTCTCTCACATGCGGAATGTGGCAAAACTGTCACTGCTCTATTGCTACTTATTACCCTTTTAATTTCTCCCTTGTCCCTTGAAGCCAAATTCTTTTGACCTTGACAGTATTTTCAATTACTCGTTAGATTGATTTCTAATTACTGTTGAATGGTGTCGACGTTTTCAAATTTGTTTTCCGACCACTCAATAAATGAAAATATCTTTTGAGTTGACACCTTTCTTACACTCTCCTGGAGCTCTAAGCGGGGGGACGTTCTTCTTTGAACATCGTAGACTGGCACTACAGAATCGCAAAGAACTTTGCTAGATAACAGAAACAACATCACTAAAAGACCTTCAACAACATCAAGAACTAATAACCGATGTAACTCGAAAAGAGTAATGACATAATCAAGGTATTGACATTTCATACGCTTTCTTTTTTTTTAATCGATTCACCCCAAGCAAGGTGATAATGCCACTAAGGTTCAAGGGGCTACTTGTAGTAAAAGAGAATGAAAAAAACTTTAGAGGGAACAGGAAACTCAATCCTAAACAGAAAACAAGGGATACAAAAAGTTTTGAAGGAAGATCATATCAAAAGAGTGATAACAGTGGATTTGCGAAATCTATTTTTCTATGAAGGTCGCATATCCGCTTGCCGTCAGATCACATATAACTCTACACATAACAACAAAATTGCTGTTGAGAAATAAGTTGTCATCTACTTTGGCAATCAACCTAGATGTAATATTTGCTTTAAGATTGTAGTTTGGTTGCTAACATGTCTTTAGCTAGTGTTTTTAATAATGGCGTAATCAAGATGTTGACATTCTACGCAACTCGAAACAAAAGATTAGGAAGGAAACCCACATCAAAACTAGAAAGAGCGCTAACAGTTAACATTACTATGACTTGAGAAATGTATTCTTCTGGAAAATTAATTTAATAGAATAATTTAATAAATTTCAAACGACATTAGAACTGCTTGTTTGGTCAATGAATGCCGAATGTTTCCTGATGAGAAAAACGGTTTATATTACCATTTCCATTATCATAGCAATTGTTATATTTCTGAAATTAAGCAATAAATATCAATAACTATGTTATTATATACATTTATTTATTAAGGATATTTCTCGAGTTGAATGATAAACTCTCGCACCACCAAATGAATTACTGTAAATGTTTCTCGTAAACAAATATTATAAGCTGACATCCATATGGTGTATTTACAACATACATATACCTTATCAGATTTAGTAACGGCCGTTTAATACTAATTTTATTGTTAAAATATTGGCTTTAGTAATTAAGTCTAGCATAGTGCATTAAAAACATTCGATTTACACATAAAATATATTTCTGCTATTTATGTATGACATTCAAGCGTCTGTCGGAATATGTAAACACAAATTTTCATCATTAAAATTTCGTGATTATTAATGTTTAATTAGAATTCCTGAATTTTTATATATCAAGAACAATATTAGCGGGTAAATGTATGACAAATTGGAAAAAAAGTTTTTGTGTGACGCATTTTGTCCTTTAGGACTTCAACGGACTAAATTTGTTGCATTGGTACGATTACACATGCGTACGAACAAGGGATGCTGGGAATGGTATATAATTTAGCCGATTTCATTTAGATTCATTTTCTTTTTGTTTCGTATTAATTTTGTTATTAGATATCCTACACTGTGAAGATCTGCCCGAAATGGTGAAATATTGTAAGAGTCAAAGCATAAAATTGTGGATGACTTTGCGATCAAGGCACTCTCTAATCATTTTCGTCTCGTTTTCTTCTTTGATCAGAGAAGCATATTTTTATGTTAAAATTGTGATTAGTCTCTTTTCGGTGAGCAGCTAATGCATTTAACGTATTATTTTGTAAAATGTCCCTTTTGTGTTCATATAATCTTTTATTTAGATTCCTTAAGATTTCTCCTGTGTATTTTTTGTAATATTTCTTACAGGCGATAGAGTAAATTCCTCCTTCCGGTTTTAGCTTATTGTTTTGTTTAATATTAACTTAGTATATTATTGTTTTAGATGTAGTCGTAACAAATTGTATGTTGAGTTTGAGTTTCTGTTTAGCTGTAGTTGTGATAGAGTTGGTGTATATATATATATATATATATAAACCAACCAAGTAGTAATAATAGGCAATAACGACTTTTGAGAGGATACGAAGTGAACATCTATGTATTATAAAGTAAAACATTAAGCATCGGGCCTACGGCTATAGTACGCTGAAACACTGGTTCTCATATTATTACCAAAGTTAAGGAACGTCGAGATTGGACAGTAATTATATGGGTGAACGCTCGAGTATACCAGGTTCGGTAAGCTTGCATGTGCGGGTGGTGTTAAAGAAAACGGCTCGGAATTGGGAATCGGAGAGCGGAGTTCCAATTCCAGTAGAGTTCGTTATATTTACTTACGCGCAAATACTCTTGGGAAAAGGTATAAATCTACCTCTGTTCTTCCAAAGCTATGGTTTAATTAGTAGGACTTGTATCGGTGAATACTTATTGTCTCCCCAAAAATCGTACAATCTAAAACTATTTTCTGGCGTTAAATAACCTGGAAAAGGGTGATAAGACGTAAAAGTACAAATAATTCAAACTAAAAACCGATGTAACATTCCTTCAGCCTCATTAAATACTAAGCTAAGCACAAACTAGCAAATTATTGAGCTTTTAATGGTCGTAACAATAAATTATTGTTAAAGAAATAAGCAAGAATAAGATAAAGAATTTTAGTATGTAATAACCTTTCCAGTTGATTTATTTAATTATTCGATTTTTGTGGATAGATCGAATTTTATGGAAAGAAGAATCATTTTTGTTTCAATCAAATGTTTATAGGTTCAAAAATTGTGAATGTATTCAAAATAGTTCCCGTTTAAAATGAGAACAAATATTTTAACGTTCACCTCTATTAGTAATATCCGTACTGGCTAAACGCTATAAAAACGAATAGAAAATTCATATTTAAAAAGAAAAAAAAAAAGAAAGAAAAATCTCATTGTAAAATGTCTTAATTTGCCAATAAACCGTGTTCAGTGTTGAACTGGAACGAGTTTTCTTATTGAGCCCGTTCGTTAGGGGTTCAAATCTGTCCAGACTAAAACACGAGCCTGATAAACTGCTGCTCAAGCCTGTTTTTTGTGGGGTCTTTCTGGATATAAACAATGATTGATTGATTAGTGTTTTACTGCTTATCAACCTTTTTCAGGTTATTTAAAGCCAGAAAATATTTTTAGATTGTAATGATTTTTTGGAGATAATAATGATTTACTAATACAAGTCCTACTATTTAACCCATACTTGGGGACAGAAGAGGTAGATTCATACCTTTTCCAAAGGTATTTCCGTGTAAGTGAATATAAAGAACCCGACTGGAATTGGAACTCCGCTCTCCGATTTCCGAGCCGTATGCTTTACACCCCACGCACATCCCAGCTTACAGCATCAGGTATTCCCAAGCGGACACCCATATAGGTACTCACCAGGCTCAACGTTGCTTAACTTTGGTGATCTTGCGAGAATCGGTGTTTCAACGTGATACGGCCGGAAGCCAGACATAAATAAAGTAAACATAGAACTAGCATTGAATCGTGAAGAACTATTGCAGGCTTAAAACCATTATAAGAATATGGACTGGTGATCGCTTAAGGGGTAAAATTACCAGTCACTCTAATAGTGCTAGCATCTTTATCCTCAGTGTTTATATCTATATGTATAACGGCAATAATCGCCAGAGTTTTGAATTACGATAAGGCGACTGCAGATAACAGATTTAAGTTCATATTCTTGAATATTTTAATACATAAAACAAGGGTAAAAATAAACAATAAATTACAAAAAATTATTTTATTAATTTAAAGAACAACATCGGTCACAGTAAACGGAATATAAGGGGAAATACTGTGTAACAAGAAAGATTTAAAACAAATTCTAAAATTTGGTTAAATTTTGGAAAATGATAAAAGCCAAGAATATTTCAGTACGTCCTCAAAATGGTATAAACAAATAATTAATCGCTGTAAAATGACACACATGTCGGAAGGGTCATCAACGTCACCCGTGACAACGGAACTGTTAAAAACTCCGCTGAATAAAGACTATTCAATCACACTTAATTGTCGAATCAATTTTCATAAAAAATCATTTCAATAAAAAGATTAATTGGAGAAAAATTAGATATAAAAATTTATTTTTCCATTATATGGGGGAAAAAAAACTTATTTTAAATTTTTTTTTCGATTGTAAAAAAAATATATATAAAAAAATGAAAAACTCGTTGAAAATCACTGGCCAAGGGTCAATTCGAGAATATGAGAGTTTTAAAATTTTATTAAAATTCAATTAATGGATAGCTTTCTATTTTTCATTACTGATGGAAATTAAATTAAATTAAAATTTTATTGCAAAATATTATTGTACCTCTCTCTCTCATCTTTCTTTTCTCTACCTCTCTCCCCTTTCTTCCCCCCCCCTCCTCTCTCTCTCTATATATATATATATATATATATATATATATATATATATATATATATATATATATATATATATATATATATATATATATATATATATATATATATATATATATATACACGTGTGTGTGTGTGTGTGTGCACGCACGTGCGTGAGTCTGTGTTCCATTGAACAACTTACGCACCATTTAGAAAACCACAACAAAATCCTTGTAAATAAATGCCTATTAGACAACCTGAAAGCGCTCTCAACGAACACTCATTTGGCCAAATTCTAAACAGACCAAGTCCCAGAAAAGAATCTCTTATTTGCACACAAGAAAAAAACAAAATAATATTTTTATAAAAATACCTTGTCATTCATTCATTTTATATATATATATATATATATATATATATATATATATATATATATATATATATATATATATATATATATATATTAAGAAATGGACAAAGTCCGACAATTTATTTATTAAAGATATTTTTTATGTTTAACGTTTTTTTTTTTTTTTTTATAGATACAAGTATTTAAGTAAATGCTCTGTTTATAATAAACAGTATTAAATAACATTTACCGGCCTGAATGTCAAAAGGACGAATATTTTTCATGAAAATATTCGTCCTTTGACAGGATTCAGGGATAAATGTTATTTAATACTGTTTATTATAAACAGAGCATTTACTTAAATACTTGTATCTATAAAAAAAAAAAAAAAAAAAAGAACGTTAAACATAAAATGTCTTTAATATATATATATATATATATATATATATATATATATATATATATATATATGTGTGTGTATTTATCCTTATAATTCTTTATATATACATAGTTTATAAGAGTAAACTTTTTACTTAGAAGGCTTTTAATACAAATATCACCTATTTTTCTTTTAAGCTCAGATGATTAAAATATTCATAGTCACTCGCCAATTGAAAGAACATTGAAGTCATCCGTCTTGCATCCGTTAAAATTCTCTGACATAAATGTCTTTGGTTCTGTGTTAGTTACTATTCACATAAGTAGAATTATTGAACCATTAATAACAATAAGCTGAAATTAAAATTTGGAAAATATAAAAAAAATACTGTACAAAAATTCATGTAAGTATTTGAAGTCAAATGATCATAAAAGACAAAAATATTTAAAAAAAATGTACGTTTGTGTCTGTGTATAAAAGATATATTCGAGCTAGTGTGCGCGTTTAGACATATACACAAACACGCATACATAGCAACTTGAACATTTTTAGAGGATATGTATGTATATGTTTGCATGTAAATAATTTTAAAATTATCTTACAGCAATGGTAAAAAATAGCGTTATAGACTTCTTCGGTTTTAAATAAGTATATAAAACAGTAGGCTCGATATTAAGTTAAGTTTACATGCACACACGCATACACGTACACACAGACACACGCAAATACACACAAATATATATGTATGTATATAATAATGCGTCATCAGTATTTATTCTGGTGAAAATATATGTGAAAATGTTACATAATTTAACATGACTGTGAAATTCGTCATTTAACCATGACTTTGAAATTTGTCATTTAACCGTGAATGTGGAACTCGTCGTTTAACCATGACTTTGAAATTCGTCATTTAGCCATGACTATGAAACTCGTCATTTAACCATGACTGTGAAATTCGCTATTTAACCGTGACTTGGAAAGTTGTTACTTAACCATGGCTGTCAAATTCTACCTCCAATTTATCAATCAGTGCTTTTATCCATTAATATATTATTATTATTGTTATTATCTCCTTTGATTTCTGCTGTATACATATATCCTTACGGGTGCCAACCAGGGACCTAAGGTCAGAAATGGCTTCATGATATTTTCCACTGATCATTTTTGTAAAAAAATAAAAAACAAAAAACAAAACTAAGATCACACACACATTTTACATAGATAAATCTCTTCGTAATGTGTGAGCTGTACTTGTTGATATATATATTTTTTGTATATCTTTGAGGCATGACTACCAGGAATCACTTCAGTGAGTCTATCGGAACTTTTTCCAATCAATCTGAGTGCTCCAACTACAACTGGAATTACTGATGTCCTCATATGCAACATTTTTGAGATTTCCACTTTAAGATCCTTGTATTTTAATAGATTTTTTAAGCTCTTCAAAGATAAATTACAATTATTATTATAATTACATGAGGGCAGCCCGACGTGGTGTAATGGTTAGCAAGCATGTTTCTTGAACAATTAGGACTGAGTAGTTAGTTCGATCCTCACTGGGTGCTCCATACGTTCGTCCTTGTGCCGCACCTAAGCTACGCTTTGAAAATCGCCATTTTTCGTGATCAGAATCTATTCTAAAGGAGTTATTTTATTTTTTTGATCGCGTTTGTGGATATTACTGCTGGAAATACCAGCTTTGTTTTTTTTAAGTTGATTCAAGCATTGGCTATGTTAGTCGCGGAATAATAATAATAAAAAAAAAGTCTTTTAAGATATGCCATTGTCTATGAGAAGTCATTTTAAAATATTTTTTGATCCTGGGCACTTAAGTCTACGTATGTGTGTGTGTGTGTTTGTGTATGTGTGTCCGTGCGCACGCGCGAAACCAGAGCCATTAGCATTTGAATCTTTTGTAGGTTTGTATCTGTAGATGTGTGAGTAGTTCTGTGTTTAATATGATCAATGGCTTGAAATATACAATAGCAGGAATATAAATAAATAACAAGGAATCGAGAAAAGTGAATCTATTTGACCATCACTCTTTCAATTATCTGTCCTTATGTGTCCATTTAAATGCAATAGTACTGTGCCTCTGACATTAATTCTATTCCATTAGGATGTATATATGTTAAGTGCATTACTATGCACACGAATTTCTGTAGAAGATACCCTTATGTTGTTCTTAGAGGACAGAAAAACTGCAGATAGCTGAAGTATGATTAAGACGTTATTGTCTTATCTTAGTATGGAGTACCCAGTGAGTATCGAATACCTTAGATTTACGTAAGAGTTGACAACACAAGCTCGCTACCCATTATCCCAATCCTAGGTGTCCATAGATTAAGATCTCGATGGTCATTTCGTAAAATTTTGCTTATTAACTTACTTTTTCCCCAGTTAGCACAGAATATGTCTATATTTCTGAGATGAGGTATTGTAATTATTTACATTGTTCGGACTGTTGTTCTCATCTTTATTGCCATATTCACGACGTTTCGGCCGTGGTACGATCCGGCCTTCTTCAAGTGATTGGAATTGGTGGACGAAATAAAGAGTTCAGTTCGAAATTCTAATCACCTGAAGAAAGCCGGAGTGTACAACGGCCGAAACGTCGTGAATATGGTAATAAAGATGTGGACAGCAGTCCGAACAATGCTAATAATGTAAATAGCACAGAATATACTTGCAATATTGCAGAAAGTTTGTATTTTGGTTGGGGTTTATGTAACGTTGGAGTGACGTTAATGTAACGATACAATCCATTTCCTAACGTTTCGAAGTTTTGTAACTGAAAAATCACGCACTGATGAAATAACGTCAGAATACATTTTCTTCAATTAAAAATATGTATAGAAGATATAAAATTTATCTCCATATGTTTTTTAAAAATTAAGTAACATCACTTTAGATGATGAATACATATTCTAATATGTTAATTCATTATCCATTTTATGGTAATACAATATTAAAAGGCAACGCGAATTGTAAGGTTATTGCGTGCAGGTTGTGGGGGTTCCACAAAATGTTTTTGCAGCGTCTATATAACGGCACAGAAACTTTATATCAGAACATCATTTTGTTGGCTGGATTTCTAATTTGATTCCAACAATAATAATTTGGATGTCGACATAAATTTCAAATTAAATATTTTGAAGTGAAATAGATATTTCTTGCAAAACAAAATGAATTGCCATAAATATGGCTTCTGAAGTAATGTGCTTGTCATAGCTCAACTGGTAATAATGTCCTTCTTAACCTCAGAATGTAAATTTAGAACATGAACGCAATTTTACGATTACATACGTTCATTTATACATTTATAAATAATGTCTAACGACTTTTTGCAACTGTAGCTAAGTTTTT